TTTAATAAGTGTTGCCCATTCTTTCTGCTTCTATAGACCATGGGATGTCAAGTATCTTAGTAATACAATTCAAATAAATGGAAGCATATATTTTAACATCTTGACAAACATGTTTATGTGTTAAAACCTACAAATATTATACAATGTCACAAATAATTGTATAATGTCTTGGCTAATTGAGTTGGAGTGTGCACATTTTAAGCTGATCCTAAGCCTGAATACATGAAGATTGCGGAAACAAATACGTAGAAACAATGAAGCATTACACGCACACTCGCAGACAGTTTGTTGGGGCAGTTTTAGTGAGGATAATTATGCTTGTATAAAAGCTTAACCACAAAGCAGTAATTGTTTAGTTTATAAATAACTGAATTGGCCCAATCAGCACATTTATTTCTATTGCCCCCATTATCTTCTTATTTCTACTCATGCTCCCTGTTAACTGCAATTGTAGGGAATGAGCCATATAAATACAGAAGGGCATGTTTAAAAATATTACAGCTTAATGGCCCCTTACCCAGCACTATTAGTTTCCATCATAGGCTGCCGTTTTGTGTAAGATCTGTCACGCAGCTTGACCTCTGATCCCGAACAAATGACTTGAGCAGGAAATAGTCCGAATATCTTCCATAAAGGAACATTCTCCGATACTTCACCTCTGCTCAACCATCCACGCAGGAAAACAGCTGTCATTTTACATTTGTTCATTTCATAATTCACAATTGTTTTATTGGAGCACTTGAGCCCAAGCCCTGCACTAGACTAGACATATTAACTTTGTATATTTCAAAGTAACAAAACTGCATTTTAACATTATTCATTTTAGCTGCACCTTATCTATATTAAATACTATACATTTCTGATTCAGTTAAATAAGGTACATTCAGTGTAGGGTACATACACAGAAAATACACAGAAAAAAAAAGCTTTAAAAACCAAAACAACACCAATGCATTGATGTTTACCATACACCTATTAGACTTAATTCTATTCAATATAATGTAGTGTATTTTTCGAACTGCAGGTCACTCCGGAGTATAAGTATCTTTTTGGGGGAAATTTATTTAATAAAATCAGAGACCAGGAGCTGATATTTCATCTTGAAAGGCAAGTTATAGTAACTACATTGGAATAAGGAACAACAGGCTGTTAACATATGAACAGTTTTTCAGATAACTATAGCACAAACAACAGAACATAACAAGTTTACCTCTCTTTAACTCTCGATCTCACTTCAAATCACTAAATCTGTTGAATTCTTCATCCTCTGTGTCACTTCTGAGTAACTCTGCGACCTCCGGAGATAAACAGTGCACCGCTTCCTCTTCTGCATAGCTGTCATCAAACTCAGCATCTGTTCCAGTTAGAATTATTCCGGTTTTTCTGAATCCTGGCAGAATGGTTTCAGTTGTCATTGAAGTCCATGTTTTGTCGATCCATCCATTGACTTCCAGGAAAGTTGCACAGCGGTCCCTCCAAAATGTGTAAAGCTGTGTTCTCCATCCCCGCTTTCTGCCAGTCCCTCACAAGTTTCTCGCTCACTCCAGACTTTTTTCTGCTGCTGCATTACCGTTTTCGGCTGCATATTTCACTACTTGCAGCAGGACAGCGGCTTTTTCTGGAGAAGACATGCGCAGTAGAGCCAAGTGACAGTGGTAGAGCAGTAATAGGAGCAGCAGATAATGGCACACAAGCGTAGATCGCCCTAATGCGATTGTCATTGTGAAAATTTTAATATATAAGTCGCAGGACCACCCAAACCATGAAAAATGTGTTCATACAGCTTTAGAAAACCTTGGCAAATGAGTAGTATTTTGAGTATGAATTTGACAACCCAATGTGTATCATGTGTATTTTATATTATATGTCTGGCTTTGCATCGGAACACAGACTTCATTTTATTTGACACTTTGACACCTGCTTTAGCGATTGATAATGTGTTCTTTATGAGTTTTGCTGCTCGTCTTGCCAAATGCATTTTCCAGTGCCACATTTTGGTTTGTGGTTTTAGGAAGCCCATATTTAAAAACAAATGGCTTCCTTCCACTCCTGTAAATAAGAGATCATGCTGACATTTTCATTAGCTGGTGACAGGGTTAGTCATCGGGAAAAGCAAGCCTGGGTCAGCTGTATGTTGAGTCATTTTTATAAAACTGAATTAGTAAAATCATATGCACAGACTATAAATATTATTAAAGGCAGTGTACTGTTGTGTGAAGTAGTTAAAGGGACTCTGTTTTGCTATGTTTGGATCATGTTGTAATAAAAAAACATACCTGGAGTTGCGTTTTGTTTCATTTACACATGCATATTTAGACTGAGTTCTTCTCTCAAATAGAAAACACTCTGTTCCACCTTGTGATGTCATGTGGTAATACAGGAAGTGCTCCACTGTGTTTTTAAACCCCACACACCTTCACTAGAGTCATTTGGATTATTTCACCACTGGAATTGCCAAAAACTGTAAAAAGGTAGCTCTTTACTTGAAATCTACTGCTTTAACGTCACGAGATGGAACATTTTGAGTTTTGGACAAACTAAATAGACAAATTAATAAACCGGGATTTCTTCAAAACATGTGTGAATGAACCAAAACACTACTCCAGGTATATTTTGATAAGGTAAAAACATTATAACATGGCTTAAAGCTCCCAAAAATCCATTTTGTCTTATATAGGATCTTTAACATTTTTCTTTCTTGTTATTCCAGGCTGGTACAGAGGATTCATCTTGAAGAACCCCAATGTCAAGGTAATCAAGTTTAACATCTTCATTATAAAGTCTCTTGAGAACAATTGTGTTAATCTGTGCCTCACATCATGACAGGTATCACAGTGCAATTAAGGATAATTCATTGCTTGTAATAACTGAACAGCTGAAAGGACTGATTATAGCTATAACTAGAAAATTATACATTGTTGTATAATTCATTTTTTCTGCACAATTAGTTCTTTCTGGGTATTTAAATGTACGTACACTTACCCAAGAAATGTAAGTGGATGTTCCAGGCCTCATCACTTTGGCCCATATTATGTTATTCTCTGATCTATAGATGGATAAATACAAAATTGAAGGAAATACAGTTTGGTTTTGCAGTAACAATGAAACATAATAAATAATCATAATAATCATAATAACCATAATAATCATAATAATACAGCAGTAAATCATAATTTACAGTGATGCGTTGTTGTACAGACGTATGGCTTATTGTTTCCTCATCAAAAACAGACCCGGAGTTGTGTTTTGTTTCATTCACACATGTTTAACACACAAACCAAGCATATTTAAGATGAGTTCTCCTCTCAAACGCTAAACACTCTGTTCCAACTTGTGATGTCATTTGGTAATACAGGTGCTGCAGTGCGTTTTTAACAGAGCATTTTGAGCTTGTATGCGGCAAGTATGTTTTTGATGAAGTAACAACATTGCAACATTTCTTAAAACTCACAAGGACCCTTAATGTATCACTCCACCGCTCTGATGTTTTCGACTATTTTTCTTATTAAGATAAAATAAGACCAAAATAGGACTGCCTAATCCCTTTAACCATTTAGAGAACTTGTTGCTTCGATTTGTTAAAAGAAGGTGGCTTAGGTGGTGAGTTTCCATATTTCCTACAAGCACTTTTGGTTTTTCCTATCAACCCAAAACATGCACAATTGATAAACTCTTCCAGCGACGGTACTTCTTTTGTCAAAGTCTAATCGTATGCCACCCCCGCATTGAAGGATGGGTCAAATTTCCAAGTAGGCATAACAAAGCATACCATAACCTGGTTAGATGTGATCATGTGGTATAGAGAAAAACCTTGCTCAATTTTAGATACATTTTGGGATTGAGAAATTAGCTTGGATTATACAGTTGAAGCATAGAATAGAATAGATATGCCCTCAGATCCTGATTTGTAATTGAGCCCGTTATGAAATGAACTTGAAGTGACTGAGTTGGCAGACTGATTGACAGTAATAAAAGTGTCAATCACCTGATGTAAAAAAATGTGTGAATATGAAAAGTACCAAGTCTGAATAGAAAATGTCAGCTAAATATAGACTTGAATTTTTAGGATTTAGTGTTATACATTTAAAGATAACTTCTTCCAAGGTCCTATATTACGCAAAATTTAATCTTGAGATCTTTAAGCCATTTTATAATGTTGTTACCTCATCATAAATATACCTAGAGTTGTGTTTTGTTTCATTCACACATGTTTAAGTCCCTTTATTATTAGTGTCTACATCTCTAAAGTTCAAAATGCTCTTATACAATACGGTACGATATTTATTGCGATATCGTGGGAAAGCTCACGAAATGGCTGGGAAACTCGTGTTTAGGGATGTAACAAATCTCTTACGATATTTACGCAATATTTTCACAATATACATCTCACAGTATGATATTTATTGCGATATTTTGTGGAGGCAAAACTGTGAATATGCTACTTTTTCCTCCTAAAATGCCTTGACAAGACTTAATCCAAAGAACTAAGACTTAAAAGTGCTTATAAATGTTATTTCTTCATGTAGTTTGCACTGAAATGGAGCAAAGGATCATGGTCTATGTAGTTCCCTTTGTCTTTTTTTTTAGCTATTGCTGCACCATAACTCTTAATTTAAGCAAAGAGACTTGTAATTCGATATTTTGTGAGGGTCCACGATATTATTGTGAGAACTTTGATGATACGATATCACAATATTTCAGTTATTGTTATATCCCTACTCAAAATACTCTATTCCACCTTGTGATGTAATGAAGTGGTAGTTTTCAGGTTAACAACAGCTATCTTTTACCTGTATGAAGGTGAATGGAGTTTGAAAAAACATTGGAGTACTTCCTGTATATCTGTATATGACATGTGTTTTCTGCTTGAGAAAAGAACTCAGCCTAAATATGCAGGATTTGTGTCTTGAAAACACAACTCCAGGTATGTTTGTGATGAGGAAACAGCATGTAGTTGTGTAATATGGACCTTTTAATATCATACACATTTTCGATAGATCCACATAACTACACTTGCATCTTCATAAATTACTAATCTTGCGTTTCACATTCTTTCGTGTACTTCTCTCTCATTGTTGTACCATAAACACACAAGAAATTTCATTCAGGTTGTATGCAGTGTACTGTTGAAGAGTCTTAACTCGTAAGTGCTAATGGAAAAGACATTAACCTATGCTTTATTGTCTGTCTGAAGGGGATCTTTCCGGCCAACTTCATCCACTTGAAGAATGCCCACATCAAAAACAAAGGGTAAGATAATCGTCTGTGTTATGTTAAATTTTCTGTTGAATTCCACCATACACATATATGTAGAATACCCCCACTGTGATGTCACCGCAAAGTATTAATAGACTCACATTTTAAGATCTTCTAGTTCTGTGATAACTTATATAAGGATCTCTCTCACGTTAAAGGTCTTTTTTTTTTTTTTTGTTGTTGTTTTGTTTTGGTCCAGCTGCTTTGTTTCCATGGAGATTGCCTGGGACATTCCACAGTATAGCATTAAACTCCTTTATTAAACATATTTACTTTTTTTCCCAACCTATTGTGCATTTCAAGTTATCTGACTACGACCTGATGTCTAACCCGATGGTGTCACCTGCTTATCTATATGAAGATAATGCCATATTGTGGAACATTCCAGACAAAGAAATAACAAGCAGACACCAGATCCCACACCAGGAGAGTTACATAACACCTTTCACTAACCACTGTGAAGTTAGGAGCAACAACAACATTTAGAAACCTTTGTGTTTTATTGACCATTTTTAAAAAGCCAACCGCGAATAAAACTAATCTGTGTTTTGTTTTGCAGCCAATTTGAGAGTGTCATTCCCGTGGAGGACACCGTTATCACAGAAATGACTTCCACTCTCCGAGACTGGGGCGCCATGTGGAAACAGCTCTACGTGGTAACAAAACCATTTCCGCTAACTACAGGACCCATTGATTTAGATAGCGCCGGTGCTTAAGCTGAATTGCCTTTGTAGGTTTCTCATCAAGGGGTTTTACTTAGCGCGGGGTAATTCACAAATCCCAAACAGTTGAATCTGCTCCCTGATACATTCATTAGTGGAATTGATGGCGTTGGTAGCCTATTAAGACATGTATGTGGTGTTTTTCATTGAAATGGGCGAGACGGTTGGATCAAAGCACACAAATTCTCCGCAGTAGGAGCGGGACAGTGAAGCTAATTTGCACAGATCCAGTGGAGTCCTCCGTCTGCTTCTCTCCGGGATGCCTTGTTCTTGGCCTTTTCCTAGTCTGTTAATTTAGCTGCACAGTCACATCTTGTTCTGTAATTGTGATCTCAGGGTGCCAGGAGTTTTTCCTTTAATATTTGGGTTGAAATTTGGCACCACTGCCTCTTTTTAAAAAATACATATATATCATTTTTTTAAACCAAAGAACTAATTATACTCATATGTAGAGATAATATTGGGTGTCTGATATTTTCACTTTTTAGAGTATCTGGTATTGGCCTTAATTCTGTACCACACACTCACCAACTGTCTAAAAAATATGTCCTGGTATAAAGCTTACCATATTTTTCAGACTATAAGTCGCTCCAGAGTATAAGTCACACTTTTGGGGGGAAATTTATTTTGTAAAATCAGAGACCAGGGACCCCGACATTTCATCTTGAAAGACAAGTTATGGTAAAAACAATAGAACAGAGAACATCACACTGTTAATGTAACGTATTAGCAGTTATCCAGATAACTATAGCATAGACAAGAGAACAAGCTTACCAAACTTTCCATCTCACTCCAAACCACTAAATCCATTGAATTCTTCATCCTCAGTGTCACTTCAGGGCAACTCTGCGACCTCCAGATGTAAACGGAGTGCCACTTACTCTTCTGTGTAGCTGTTGTCAGACTCCGCATCAGTTCTAGTTAGAATTATTCCAGCATTTCTGAATCCCGACAGGATGGTTTTGGTTGTCACTGAAGTCCAGGCTTTGTCGATCCATCCACTGATTTCCAGGAAAGTTGCATGGTCCACCCTCCTGGTTACTATGAAGCTGTGTTCTCCATCCCTACTTTCCACCAGTCCCTCACAAGCTCCTCGCTCACTCCAAACTTTCTTTCTGCTGCTCGATTACCATTTTCGGCTGCATATTTCACTACTTGCAGCAGGACAGTGAATCTTTCTGCAGTAGACATGCGCAGTAGAGCGAAGTGACAGTGGTACAGCAGTAATATTAGTAGCAGATACTGGCACATAGGTCTAGAGCGCCCTCCCGCGGCTGTCAGTCTGAAAATTTTAATATATAAGTCACACTGGAGTATAAGTTGCAGGACACACAAACCATGAAAAAAAGAGAGTACTGCAAAAATGTGGCTACACTACTTTCTTATCTACTCTTATCTGTTTGTAGTGAAACAGGGTTGTGGGTGAGTTTGCAATAAATGATTTTCCTCAAAGTTTAGAGTTTTTATTTAAATCGGTCCTACATATTGGCCCAAAAATATCGACAGAGTTTATTGGTCATTGATTTTGTCTGTATTCTAAACAATCAAAATTGGCATTGGCTATGGAAAAAACCCACATCAGTCGATCTCTACTCAGATGGAAAAAGGGTGAAAAAGCAAACATGGCAAGTCATTCAATATGAAAGGTGTGGATGTATCTTAGCTTTCTTTCTTTCTATATTTTTACTAAGTTGACACATGTTCAGGTTGAAATTTTCTAAACATTTCTATCTTTTTTATATTTTAGTTTTATTTCTTGAAAAAAAAAAAGGATCCTAAGATGAAGAATCCTAACTAAGCTTGGCAATTGTAAATAAGTAAAATCCAACAAAGATAGTTATTTTAAAATATCCTTGCTTGCTCTCAGTGACTTCCTGTGCCATCTGTTATATTCCAAAAATTGCCCCAGCACTTTGAGCAGAGCCACTGGAGTGTTGTTTTCCCTCAAGACAAAATATTTAACTTCCAAGTAAATAAAGTAGCTAAATCCACAATGTTAGGGTAAAGGGTGTGTGAATGAAAGAATGTGTGGGATACATGGCACAGACAGGAAAAGAGGAGCAGAGGAGAGGAGAGGAGAGAACGAGGGAGTGCCATGCCCTGAAAGAGTGAAAGGAAAGAGGAAAAGTGTAGCACAGCCAGTGGGAGATGAGTGATTTTGGTGCCATTAATAAGATTTGTCTAAGAAAAGAATGAGTCAGGGTAGGGCTGGGCAATACCATGATAGCAATCTAATCTTATTCCTGTGACAGTCAGATTTATTTATTTATTTTTCAGTTTTAAAAATAATATCAATAATAAAAAATATATATATCTTATTTTAATTTTTACTTGAAGGCACCTCTATGCTCAAACAAACACACTTTCCCCCATCCATATCTCCAACTGGTGAGGCTCAGCATTGCCCTGAGTGTGTGGCATTCGGATTTAACCAATAATTTTCATCTGGCTCCAAGAAAATCATGACAAATAATACTTAACCTATCCTATAATACTAAACCCGCTCCTCTGTTTCCCCGTCCCACAGAAAAATGAGGGTGATTTGTTCCACCGTCTTTGGCACGTGATGAACGAGATCCTGGACCTGAGGAGGCAGGTGCTGGTGGGGCACCTCACCCACGACCGCATGAGAGACGTCAAACAGCACATCACAGCACGACTGGACTGGGGCAATGAGTGAGTACACAGGGAATAAAACAATTTAAAAAAAACTTATCTTAGTTTGATTGCACTAGTCACCATAATCATAGAAAGGTTTAATGCCATGCTGTGAAACATTTCAGGCAAAGCATTAACAGCTCCATGGAGAAAAGCTCTTGTTGGATACACCACCAGAAAAGTTACACACTGCACATATGCCGTGCGGTTATCTAACAAAGCTTATGTTACTTATAGACAAACTTGGAGAGGGAAGTATAACTGAAATCTTTACTCAATAGACAGTTAAAACTATTCCTACAAGTGAAATTTTGTCAGAAAGTTACTCTAGTCAATGTGTCTCAGTGAATATGAGTAGACCACCCACCTCTGTTTCATAAGGGTTAACCCAATCCACAAAGTTTCATACATCCAACTTTGTCTTTGATTTGTTTTGCTAACTTCAGGCTAATCTCATTGTAGAAGAAGCATGAGTCAGACTGCCTCCATCCTTCATACATTTTATTTTGTCTACACCCAGAACCATTATTGCAACGTTAATGGATTTCTAGCCCAAAATCAACCAGGGACGTGCACTATGGAGTATTTAAAAGCATAATGACATTACCCATGCACACAGCAACATAAATAATTTATGGAATATCTGTTTTACACTACAGAGCATTTTTAGAAACGTTTAGAAGCTCAGTAGGACCACAGCCCATTATCCGTGTAAGCCTTTATGAAATTATGAAGTCGCCCTGGGAAATTGCATGTCCAACATAAAATATACACTGTACAATACGGAAATGAGAAATGTATTATCAGACATGTTTGGCCTAAAAATAAGCAAACATGATGGAAAAGTTGATGATTACCAGGATACAATGGCATATTGGACTCTTCCAATTCAAATAACCTCACTATTAGGACTATAACATGTTTGATGAACTATTTATATCAACATTTTTACACCGTTAAGGAATATTTCTGTCCTGTACATTTGATTACGAGTGGCAATAAGGTAAAACGGATTAATAATGGAACTATACGGATTTTCAGCTGATACAATATCAGATATGTGTCTTATTATTGTGGCCAATATTTTAAAAATTCATAGCAAGTCCCACAACTTATAGGAACATATGTATTAAAATATTATGAAATGTATTTTTTGGGACATAATATAATTTGTTGTATTTTTATGATTGCTTAAACATACATACAGTCTTATTGCTTTTCTTTATACATTTTAATCTACTAATCTGTTTATCAAGGCACATGTACTGTTTATAGGGGTGTAACGATATCCAAGTCTCACGATATTGTCACGGTATGAACCTCACAGTACGATATTTATTGCGATATCGTAGGAAAGCTCACGATATGGTGAGGAGGCTCACGATTAGGGATGTAACAATATCCAAATCTCTCGATGCAATATTTTCACGATATACATCTCACAGTACGATATTTATTGTGATATTTTGTGGAGGCAAATACAACTGTGAATCGGCTACTTTTTCTTCTTAAAATGCCTTGACAAAACTTAATCCAAAGAACTAAGACTTAAAAGTGCATAGAACTGTTATTTCTTCTTGTAGTCTACACTGAAATGGAGCAAAGGATCATGGTCTATGTAGTTCCCTCTGTCTTTTTTTAATAGCTATTTCTGCACCATAACTCTTAATTTAAGCAAAGAGACTTGTAATTTGATATTTTGTGATGGCCCACGATATTATTGTGAGAACTTTGATGATACGATATCACAAGATTTCGGTTATTGTTACATCCCTAACTGTTTACAATCTGGAAATGCTAATCTCTACTGAACTAAATGTAAATGGTAGCTGATAATTTGGACACTACTTACTGCTTCATGACATCACAAGGTGGAACGGAGCATTTTGAGCCTGTGAGATGTAAACAAGACAGTTACTCAAACACGAGTGAATGAAACAAAACACAACTCCGGGCATGTTTCTGAGGAGGTAACAGCATTATAACGTGGTTTATAGCTCACAAGAGTCAATTTTGCGTAATATAACAACAAAGTAATGAAATCTCAACTACCCAGTGTTATATTATAGTGTTAAAATTTTATCCGACACTCACCAAGACCACTTTTCTGGAGTAATATAAAGTTATTGCATCCCAGTACAATGTTAAATTATTCATGGGCCCTGGCTGGACTGGAGCATGTGTCCCTCTGCTCCCCTGCCTTTTGTAGTGGCTCTTCCCTGCAGCCACTGTCCTCACTCATATCTCTCCATCCGCTCACTCTCAGCTCTCCCTCCATCTCTCCGTCTCTCCATCCCTCCATCGTCTCTGCCTCTCTGTGCCTGCCATGGGAGCATGCAGAGGAGAAAATATCACAACTTGTGCCCTTCTCTTTGTTTGTCTGTCCGTCCTTCACTTTTGATTCCCTTCGGCTGTCCTTATGTGTCCACTCAAGTCACTCTCAGATGAGCAGATAGTCCTAAATTGTTGTAGCACTTCACCAAGTATTTCTTATCTGGCAACCTCAAAGTTTTTTCATGCTCTTTGAGGTTTATTAAAGTCCTATATTACGCAAAATGCACCCTTGTGAGCTTTAAGCTGTATTATAATATTTTATGTTAAATCCTCCAAAACATACCGGGAATTTGTGTGAGTAACCCTTTAATATTTGTCTGTCTACATCTTCAAAACTCAAAATGCTTTAATGCTCTAATACAAAGTTGAAAAAACGGAGGCACTCAAAAAGTACAAAATAATTAAAGGCCTTTAATACCACATGGCAGATGAAGTTAAAATCACGCCAACGCTTTTCAGCACTTTGGCCTTCATCAGGGCAAACTCGAGATGGATGTCACAGTGCAGTTCCCTGGTGCATGATGGGACATGTAGGCTGAACAGATTGTAGTTACAAGTTTTTAAGATCAAATATAATACAAGATACAAGATATAAATAGTGCAATTCCCAACAACCAATATATAGAAATATATATAGTGCAAAAAATACAAATATGCTACAGATACAACGTGTATGATTTGTATAATATATTAGAGGGCCTAGAGAGTCTTAAACAGTTTCATGGAGACTAAGATTTAAAAATTAGGAATTGATTGCACATTTAAAGCTTGTATTTTTAAAGGAAGGTGGAGAAATCTATCTAGAATCTCTGTATATCCAAGTAACATCCTCTAAAGTTTTGCTCTCTTCCAACTCGTGATGTCATGTAGTGATAGTTTTCAGCTTCCTTTTACCTTTAGTTCAAAAGAGACTGGTTTGGAAATGATCCAGATGATTCTCATGCTGGTGTGTTGAGTTTAAAAATAGAGTGGAGCACTTCCTGTATGACACATGACATCACACGGTGGATCAAAGTGTTTTCTATTTGAAAGAAGAGCACAGTCTAAATAAACAGGGTTTGTGTTTTAAACATGTGGGAATGAAACAAAACAGGACCCCAGGGATGTGAAAAGGGGATGAGGAAAAAACATTACAGCATAGATCAGAAAATAGCTTAATTGAGATGTTTTGCCTGGAATGTGTCATAATATGGCATTAAACGTATCCTGTATTAATAGAGGTGTTGTTTTTTTTGCTGCTTTCCTATTGTGAGCAAGGTCACCTCTCCAGAGATCTGATCTATAACTTGGCCTAGTGGCAGCCTCTGTTTGTCTCCATGGAGATATAGATACTGTAGATAGATTGATAGATAAATTTCCCGTATTTTTGTCCACTTCTTTTTGTTCTTTTTGGTAATTTTATTATATTATTATGATATTATACTTTTGCATATCTTCAAAGACACAATTTTGATATCGTATTAAGGTTTTGCATCTACATACGCACGTAACCTGTTGTTTATGCTGCCATATTGGAGGTCAAAATATCTATCTGGACGAATGTGTAGTATTTGTGTGCGATAAAATAAGAAGGACGAGCTGTGCGGTCCTCACTTTCAGCGACACAGAATCCCGCCTCACTTTCGCCGACACGGGGTAGTGATGGCTCTGATTCTGATTCTGTTATCAGGAACAGATGTGATGACTTGGTGATCAACAAAGATCTCACACATCCTGCTTCAAAATATTTATAAGCCTCCAACCCCTTGTAACTTTTCCGTTCTTGGTTGGTGTAGGACGATGTAGAATGAATTAAGTCGTTACAAATATCTGGATACTGGAGATTGGGCACAGAGCGAGCGTTGATTAGACTGACAAAGCGGTCCGTCGGATTTGGATGATTGGATGACATATATCTTTCTAATGAGGCTGATCTAATGAGCTGGCAATTTCAGACAGTTTTGTTTGCGCTGTTTAAAGTAGCCGTGATTATACTGTAGTAACTGAATAACACTTTCCGGATCAACCCCAACCTTGACCTCCAGTATGGCCACGTCACACTCAAATCCTTAATTGTTAACCATATTTTTTGCCTCTAATTTTCCACATATTCTTACGCTATACACTATACAAATCTTATGTGTCGCTCATGTACCTCTACTTTATGAATAGAGAGTCCCTTCTGACAGCCCAATGCATGCTTGACCAGTCTTATTTTAGTAACAGTGCAGAGCCAGTCAGGAGTGGCGTTTTGGTCCACTGGGAGTCCACTCTCAAAGGAAAAGAAGAGAAAGAGTTAATATTATGTGGGTTAGGGAGGAAGATGGAAGTACAGACCAGACAGATAAAACGTGTGTAGTCAGGCAGTGGTGAGGAACGAAGGGAGTGTTTGAGTTAGGGACAGAGGAGGCAGATGAGGAGCTAGGGAAGGAAGGATGAAGTGTCCTAGCGGGGGGCTAAGGGAAACATTTTTGTCTTTCATGTTTTGCCCAAGCGAGGGCCATCTGTCACATGTGTTTAGATAACTGACAGAGCTGATCCGGCAGCACAGAGGAGATATAAATAAAAGTGTTTTGTTTAAATATTGATGCTCATGAAATCTGGTTGTAATGTCAAAATATACTCTTCTAAACATTTCTCATTCGAGTTCATAACCTTAATGTTCTACTGTGACCTGCAGCTTTTTGTTGGTAAAATGATCAAATATTAAGGGTGAATAATAATGCCCTTAGCCAAATCCTGCTTAGCTTTTGAGATCTGACCTGACTTTTGGAGTACTTTGTTAAAACAATTATCTAGCGTACAGCATACATAATTATTGTATAAAATAATTTATTAATAAAGAATAGATTGCTTCATTTTACAGTATAGAGCTGACAAAATATTGGGAGTTAGAAGTTTTTAATCTTAAGCTTAAATAATGATGAAAATTTTGTCTTTACTTTACAAAATCCTGCAAGAAATGTGGGATATGTAGTGTTAAGCCAGGCTGGTGTCACCTAGTGCCTCTACTCAGTTTAATTCTCTCCAGCGACTAGGTCAGGAATCAGAATACACTAGACTGTTTGCAAGAACCCCGGAAGTTGTAGACCACGCACCAGCCAGTCACCGAAGAGCTGTGAAGCCATCACATCAAACTCAAGTGCCTGTTTGGATCCCTTTTGTGTTACAGCACAACAGTAAACAAAGCGGTCGAGATGGATGTAGATGAAGCAATACATTCTGTGTTGGCAACGAATCCCGAGATCGAGGATTTTCACTCTCTGCTTTGTTTGTTGTTGTGCTGGCAATTACTTGGACACCACTGAGCATTCCAGAGCATTACATACATCGTGACCAAATAGCAGCGATTGGTTAAATTAAAAAAGTACCAGCCTTAATTCTGCTTGATCAGATGGTTTCCACAAAGTGAAACTGGCTGATGAATCAGGCTAATGTAGTGTAGTCTATATATTAAAATTTCAAACTTGGAAAAAACATTCAAACTCAACACAATCATCAAATGAACCTATGCATTACACAGTATACACAGATAACTACCATCTCCATAATAAAATGAAGTGATGAAATTGCCTTTAATAATTCTACAACTGATAGGAATAGACTGTTTTGATAAACACACTAGTTTCACAGTCCTTTCCAAGTATTTTATTTCATTTCATTGACAAAACAATGGTCAAAATAGATACAAAGCGCACATTAACTAGTGGATGGCCCACCACCTGCTTGTCTCCATGGAGATGTTATCGATTTGCCAGGAATGTTCCCCACTATGGCAGCAAAATTTATCAGAGCGCCTCTACAATTGCTGCATCACATGACCTTGGCAGCAAACTTGAAGTATATACAGTATATATAATAATCATCTTGCATTTATTCCGCTTCAGGGGTTGCTATTGCTTAAAAGTTTAAAGTAATAGAGTTTGACATTTAACTGTCTTTCTTTGTCTTGTGCCTGGCTCGTAGGCAGCTCGGGCTGGACCTGGTGCCGCGGAGGGAGTTCAGCATGGTGGACCCAGAGGAGATCAGCGTCACAGAGCTGTACAGACTGGTGAGTGCTGCGTGTCTCCTGCACAACTTCACCTGCTCCACTTTTACACAAGCTCAGTGTGGAGAAGCACAGGTGCACGGGACCCAACTCTGCCCTGGTTTTAGCTCCTGTTTACTCTGCTGAAGCACTGCAATGGAGAGAATCTGTAATATGTAAAAATAGACTGATTTCAGTAGTATTTCTCTGGATTTGAGAACATTTTGACAATATAATAAGATATGCCAATACGATAACTTATATTCCACTTACAATAAAGAAATCCCATCTCTTCTATTTTATATTGTACATGAAATACACAAAAAGTGACTGGTCTATTTGCAAAAGTCAAAATCTATTCAAATTACAGTGAGAGTCAATTGAAGTAAGTCATTTGAGGTAATAGAATTAAATTTGGATGGGTTAGCTGAGGCTGAATTCATAATAATATTAGAATTGGGTCAAATTTGCCTGGAATTCTCAGACTCAAACTGTAATACAGAGACATATTCTGGTAAGGATCATGCATCTCAAATATCATTTAGGAGAAATGAAAAATTTGAAAATTAGCTACTGTGTAAAAATAACAAAATTGCAGACAAAGCTGTAAGAAAATGTATATATTTGCGTTGCTGTTTGAAGATGAGGAACCAAAACATGCAGATGCTGTATCTATTTAGTCGTCTCCATTACAATTTCATTCAGTCGTTAGGGAGTTTTTACAGAATACTTGACGTAACTAGTTTGCTATTTCACATTGTAAATCTGGCTATGTCACACGAGAGACAGAGTAAAGGGAGAAGTCTTTATCTGAGTGGCGGCACACTTCAAAGCCTGTTCACTTCCCTTCTCAAACAAGGGCCTATTGACTTTGCTGTTCAGATTAAGAGGAAGAAGGAGGAATTTTCACAGCAGCATTGAACACTGTATCTCATCTGTGTCTGACTGTAGAAGCTGGATTGATTTTTTGCAATTTTATTATAGTCAGATATTTAAGCCAGAGTTTTTAATTATTATTTTTATCATTATTATTTTACCTATTAATGAAGCTATGACCGTATGCTTTGCTGTGTATTGTGCTATGTAACAATAGCTCCACTCAAAGGTTGCAATTGTAGCGTGTTCTGGTTTGAGCCCATTTTAGTCTTTGTGTGGTCTTGGTTTGGTCAGGGATTAGCCCTGGTCTAGTTTAGGTGTAGTTATGGTTTAATTCTAGTTTAGTCCCAGTTTTGATGTGGTATGTGTGCAAATGTGATATAAATATGAATAGGCCTATGTTCTGAGAAGCTCCTTTTTCAGAATGGTAAACATATACTGCCCAGATGTTTTGTAATTATGGGGTGTATGCTCTAATTTTAATGACTGTTAGTTCTTGTGCTTGCAATAGGACAAAACAATAATCAAAATAAATGCAAGGCGCTAGGGATGTAACGATATCCAAATCTCACGGTACAATATTTTCACGATCTCCAAATCTCATACTATATTTATTGCGATATTTTGTAAAGACTAACAGAATTGAGAATATTCTACTTTTTCCTCTTAAAAGGCCTTGACAAGACTTAACTCAAAGAACTAAGATTTATAAGTGCTTAGAACTCCTATTTCTTCATGTAATTTGCACCAAAACGGAGCAAAGGATCATGGTTGATGTAGTTCCCTCTGTTTTTTTAGGCATTGCTGCACCAAAACAATACATTTAAGCAAAGAAACTTGTTATTCGATATATTGAGATGGCCCACGATATTATTGAGAGACTTTTGATGATACGATATATATCACAATATTTTGGTTATTGTTACACCCCTACAAGGCGCACTATGTAAGTTTTCAGGATCTACCTACTGCTTAGCTCAGTGGAGATGTTATTGATCCGAATGTTTCACAGTATGACAGCAAACTTGAAATATATAATTATCATGCATGTATTCAATTACAGGGGTTGCTATTGCTTATAAAAACATGCATATTTATTGTCAACTGGATCACCTCTCCACAGATCTGACCTGTAACTTGGCCTGCAGACATATATGTCATATTGTGGAACATTCAAGGCAAAGAAATAACATCAAGCAGGTGGAGGACCATCCATTTGAAAAGTTACACATTGTCTTTTTTTTTTTAAATAATAAAAAGAAAATGCTTCTTTGGCCCACTCTTTTCTGAAAGTTTATCAAAAGTCAAATCATTTCCTTTAGTGCCATCTTACAAAAACAGATCATCCAACAAAACAATCATCATAAGCATCATTTTCAAGGCAGACTCACATAATTTTCCTAATTAGAGAGAAATTCACCATCATCTCTTCTCGTCTTTCCCTATCCTCCCCCTCCTCTCGCTCTCTCCCCCTCTCCTCCGTTCCCCCCTCTGTTCCTCATCGTCCCATTTCGCCCCAGCCGCTGTTACCGTGGCAACCACTTCTCTGCCCTGGTTGGTACAGAGCGGAGAAAAACCATACCACAATTATACACACACGCACACAAATAACGCACACAAAACAAGTCCTCTCCTTCGCATGGGGTAATTGAGGCTCTTAATCCATCTGTTTTCTTTCTGTGTGCCAGTCAAAACAAAAGCAAGCACAGCCAAACAGGAGCTTAATGCACTACTGTTTAATTCAATACCAAATGAGCAAATGACTTGGTTGCTTCTGTAGCAGGGCCCAGGGCTGAAAAGGATTGAGATTAGATCTGGTTTAAAAGGACTGTATTGTGCTATTTTCTGATCTATGTTAAAATGTTGTTTCCACATTAAAACATAACCTGAGTTGTGTTTATTTAGGCTGAGTTCAAATTCAAATTCAAAATGGTTATTGTCAAATTTCCGCATGAACATATGAAAAATTTTAATTATGTTGTCACTCTTAGTCTTCTAAATTAAATAATAATAAAACAAAAGGAAAAGTCCAAAGTTCTTCTTTAGGGAGACTCAGATTCCTAGCTTCCTGGCTATCTGGTGGTTAGAGAGGGGAGAGAGTTCAGCATCCTAACAGCCTGGTGGATGAAGCTGTTAGTGGGTTTGGTTGTGCGGGAACAGAGGCTCCAATACGTCCTCTCGGAGGGCAGGAGCTGAACAGATTGTGTGCGGAGTGACTTGCATCACTCACAATTGTGATGGCTTTGCATGTGAGGCGGGTGGTGTATATGTCTTACTGGGAGGACAGTGGTGCACCAATGCTCTTCCTGGCTGTGTTCACTTTGCGCTGCAGGGCTCTCCTGCTGTGGTCAGTCAGCTTCCGCCCCACACAGGAATGCAGCTGGAAAGGATGCTCTCAATGGTTCGTCTGTAGAATGTGGTCATGATGGGTAGTGAGGCACTTGCCTGATGGAATTTCCGCAGAAAGTAGAGGCCCTGCTGGGTTTTCTTCACTAGTGATGCAGTGTTGGGGGTCCAGGAGAGGTCCTCACTGATGTGCAACCCCAGACATGTTGTGCTACTCACTCTCTCCACAGCAGCACCGTTGATGATCAGTGGTGGATGTTAGGTGTGGTCTCACTAGAAATCGACATCAACCTTCTTAGTATTTTCTGTAGTGTGTCCCGTCGCCCTCAGTGATGAAACCCACCAGAGTTTTGTCGTCCATGAACTTCACAAGGTGCTTGGTGCTGCAGGTTGTTGTGCAGTCATGTGACAGCAGGGTGAAGGGCACGCAGCCTTGGGGAGCTCTGAGTGCTTCTCACAAATGGAAAGCACTCTGTTCCACCTTTGTCATGTGGTAATACAGGAAGTGCTCCACTGTGTTTTTAAGCTCCATAGACTGCCACTAGATTCATTTGGATGATTTCAGCTCTGGAATTGCCAACCTCTACAGGACAAAAGGTAAAAGGTAGCTGTTTGGAGAAAGATTAGATTAGATTAGATTAGACAGACTAATAATAAAGGGTTACTCAAACATGTGACAACTCGAGGTATGTTTTTGATGAGGTAACAACATTAAAATATGACTTAAAACACGCAAGAATTTAGTGTGCTATAGGACCTTAATGTGATATAGGGTATAGATCTGATGTGTAGCTTAGCCTGATGTTGTGACTTGCTTGTCTCCAGGGGAATAGTTAAATTTAATACCATACTGTAGAACATTCAAAGAAAAAACAATAATGTCTCCATGGAGTCAAGTAGGTGACAGACCTTCTACCAGAGAAAAATATGCAGTGCACCTTTAAAAACTGCAGCTAATTGCATCTGTTCAAATTATAGTTTTGACTTGATTGTGATTAATCTTGCATCCTAAGCGGGGGCACAACAGTTAGATAAAGACAACAGCATTCATAATCCTGAAGAAATACACAACATGGCAACAACAATGAAGCCCAAATGACTTGAATCTGAGCCTGTCTCCAGTGTGTGGTGGTGGGGTCTTTGTTTCCGTCTTGCTGCCTCTGTGGTGCTTCTTAATTAAATTGGGACGGGGATTACCTGCGTGTGTGCTGGCAGTGCGGGGTTGAGCTGTGGGAAAAATCAGGCTGACTGTTCAAATGCATCAGGAGATCACTGTATGAGATATCTGAGTGAATGATGTAGATAAGAGGGGTTATTATTAAATAGGACTGGTACTATATCATGACTCTGATAATATTTTTATAATTTGTTGCACATGGTGATTGGCTGAAAACACAGTACAACAGTGGTCTCCAACCCCCGGGCTGCAGACCAGTACCAGGTTGTGGGTCATTTGGTACTGGGCCACGAAAGTGCGAACCCCCCTTCCCATACGCCTGTGCACCGCGTGGACCGTTTTTCTAAACCAGAACTAAAAACAAGTCTAAATCCAAGACTAAACCAGAACTAGAACCAGGATTAAACCAGGACTAAACCAGGACTAAACCAGGACTAAACCAGAACTAAAACCAGGACTAAAACCAGGACTAAAACCAGGACTAAAACCAGGACTAAACCTGAACTAAACCAGAACTAAACCAGTACTAACCCAGAATTAAACCAGAACTAAACCAGAACTAAACCAGGACTAAAACCAGAACTAAACCAGAACTAAACCAGAACTAAACCAGGACTAAAACCAG